TATATATATATATATATATATATATATATATATATATATATATATATATATATATATATATATAATGTTCTATTAAAATAAACGTGTGACTAGTTTAGTGTATCACTGAACTAGCTTTTGAACAAATTTTAATACCCCCCCCCAACCAAAAAACAAAACCAAAAAAAGCCAGCACTCTAGTGGACCTGCAATCATTTTGATCTCTACTCAAAAGCATTTGTTAGCCCACATGTTTCTATTTTTATAACCCAAATGTGTGAAAGCTTTTACTGCAGCGCTTGTTAAACTGTTGCTACTCTCACATAAAACTTTGGGTTTTATCTCTGTTAACCTCAACAGGGAGAGTTTGCAGTTGATATTAAGGCAGTATTTTAATCTACTGCTCACTAATTTAACCAACTAGAAGAGAGTCTCTCCCCTCCACTGGCCATAGACCGTTTCAGTCTAGATTCTTAAATCTCCTTATTTATCTTCTCCTCTCTCTGCAGCTGGGTGTATGGAGTCTTTTCAAGAACCTGGACCTGCAGCTGCTCCAGCCCATGTCCCTGACCCTGATGCATTCCAGCATGCCTTTGGCCAATGACTCCACCATCAGCCTGGACCCCATGGAGATCTCCGCCTTCAAGCTCAAACTACGCTAAGAGCCAACCACAGTGAAAACAGTGAACACACATCAGAGTAGCGAGACCAAGAACTGCAGTCTGGGTCTCCCTGAGTTGTTGAGCTGAATTCGGAGCAACAGGGTCCACTGTAACAGGGCTAACTGGACTGCAGGGGGCAGACAACAGCTGCTCTAGATCTGAGGGCTGGCAGTACAAACATGGTGAATTTGAAGCCGTTTCATATCTGGGAAAGACTGCGAGTATTTCTCATCAGATAAAGCTGAGCATCTGCAATCAGATATAAAATCTCTGTTGTTCTGCTTTGTAAGCGCTTTCATTTCTCTCTGTTCTCCTCCTGGACTCAACTAGTGAATGTAAATATCCCGAATGACTGTGGAGGGGGCTGGGACTGGTGCCACATCAGAGTGCAATTTTCAAGCTTTATTTGCAGTCCAGGCTGAATAATTTAATTTCTTTCTGTTTTATTTTAAACTGGGGGAAAAATATTGATCATTAACATATCTTTTTTTTTTTTTTGTACCAATCAGTCTGATGTAGTTTTTTTTGCTGCAAATCCTCAAGCTGTTTCCATGAGTGCCCACCGTTCTCATTAATCATGAAGGACGACTCCTCCCCTCCTGTCCTCAGTATGTACTTGTAGATAGTCTGCTGATTTCCCTCTCCCTCTTTGAAGATTAGAAAAGTGTGCAGGGTCCCAGATCGTGTTGACCATTCTTGAGCTTGTAGCAAACATATGCAGTAGATTAGCCAGGAGACCGTTACCTCATGTTTACCAAACAGCAGATATATTGGTATATATGTCTATGGATGGGGTTACTGTGAATATGTGAGGTTGATCATTTTTGGGGTGGGAGTACACTCTGTCAGGGACCAGTCATAACTTTGGGGTCATTAATTAATATGAATTAATATCAGTGGCAACATACATCAAAGGAGCTAGTCTTAAACGCTCCTTTTCCTGATTTAGATCAGATTGAGCACGTATGAAAATAGGAACAACTCTTCACACTGTAGAGGCTGTGATAAGGTTTTTATCTGGTATTTGGAAAGATATAATTTTTTTTTTTGAAAAATTAAAACTTGCAAAAAAACAAAACAAAGATCTGTATACTGGATCTTGTTTACTTTTTTTTAAGGCATAAGAAAAAACCCAAAAATATAATCATAGATTGATAACTTTCTGCCAGACGAGTCACGGCTCTATATGCCTGAAATGTGACCATAAAACAGTTTTTACTTTTCTCTATCATAAACATTACATTACTTTATTCTTTTAATAATCAAATTGGATTAATCGACTCAGATGATCATTGTCAGTATGTCATAAAGATATTAAACACTGTAAAAGTCTCTGAACATCTTTTTTCCCATTATATATAACTATTCTTCAAATACCAGGCTTCTGCAGGGTCTAAAGCTTTTTCATTTCCTTCAAAGAAACCCTAAATACAAACAGAAATCCCAATGTAGGTCAGAACTTACCTTTAATGCTGTCAAATTCCCCAAAAAAAGCAGAAACATGTTGACCAACATTAATGAGTCATCCTTTGACCTTTAGATGTTAGAGCATAGAGGTCACATGTTGGAGCTAAAAACTGCAGTTATTGGTGCTACCGGTACTTGCCTTTTCACCTTAGCTAAAATAAAGGAAAATGGGTAAATGTTATGCAATTTAGATTATTGAATTCCCATTTGTTATAAAAAATTGAAATACTATTTTTTTCAGAAGCCAAGAATTGTAATGGGATTTTACAAATCTGCAGTAATAAAAAGTCCCATTTAGAGAGCCGTGACTTGGAGAGGAATATACATTTCTTGAAGCTATTGGCAGTCTCAGCTCCACGGTGTTCTTTACCCCGAGGCTGGCTGCAGGCGCTGCGTCTGTCTGCCATTCCCAGCTGATGGGAAGGATCCTGTCATCTCCATCTAAGGTTGAGGCCATAATCCCAGCCGCACTCTGAACTGTGCAGCCATCTCCCCCCCCCGCCTCACTTTGTCACGTCCCGCAGGGGATCCGCAGCCTTTCCCCTAACCTTCAGCTGACAGGGCTGCGAGAGGTCAAAGATGTGGCTGCAAACCTCATCCCTCCTGCTGTCGCTAACATCTGTCAAACCAGATGTCGCCACATTTCAGTTGCACTTTTTCTGGTGTCTCGAAAATTATTTTTGTCTGTAAATGTCTTTGACTTCTTTTTAAATGTGCTATCTGCCATAGGGCTCATTTTTTTGTTGAAATAATATATGAAGTCAACCCTATTTGCAAATAAAAGTTAGTGACTTAAGTCTAAAGTGACTGAATAAAGAAAGAAAAAAAAAAAACATTAATTTGCTGTTTCAAATTTTTCCACCAAAGATTTTCTAGATGCACTTTACAGCCACATCTTGATAAATTTGAATGTTGGGTTAATTCAAAAGGATTTTTACTGTAGATTTGGCTCGTCTTTGCAGGGGGGCTGGTACCCATCTGCAGGGCCATGGGCAAATTAAACTGTAAACATCCATTAACCTCTCAGTTCTGTTTTTGGACTGAATGAGAAACCTGGAGTAACTGCAGAGAACCTGAGCATTGACATGTTGAATATGAAAACTAACCAGCGATAACATATGTCATATAATAAAAAGTTAATTCATTTAACTTCATTCAAAAAATGAAACTTGTATATTATACTCCTTCATTAAACATTACATCCTTTTTTGGTTATCAGATCTGAGTTTAACATTTTTATACTGAATACCTTAAAATAACTTCAGAAAAGCAAATTTGGTCACTAGGGGGCAACATTGAGTCAGTTTAAGCAGTTCTGTTGGAGCTAACCCTCCAGGTTTTAGCACTTAAGACTAATGAGTAACCCGCCTAGAACTGAGTATAAAGTTCAGCTCACATGTCCTTTGGTGAAGATAAAGGTGTCTCCCTTTGGTGACAAAAAGTAGCAAATAAAAACCAATGTCTCTTCATGCATTGTAAGAGGAAAGCAAGAGAAATGATGTGGCAGCAGAGACTTTGAGGTGATGGCTGAAGAAACATTCTCCAAACTCTGAGAGCTGCAGCATTTCCTGGAGTACATCAGCCTAGAAAGACAACGCATGACCTTTAATGAGCCTGAAACGATGCGCGATTGATTTAAATGTGAAATCAACTAATGGGCTCCTGATTTGTTCTTGCTGTATTAATTAACATAATATTTCATGTTGCCAAACAATAGTTTGCAGTGCATTATAGCTGGTGATTAGTCTGAATCACTGCACAGCCCGCAGAAATGGTTAATGGTCGTGTCAATGAGGAGGTGAAGTGCTTCCAAATACAGAATTTATAAAGGGAAGCCAGATCCTTTTTTGGAGAGCTCTCCCAGCAGATCTAATTATGGAGCACAGAATGGATACACTTTTACCCATGCATTCAGTTAGCTGCACCTTTGCAGATGAGGGAGCAACTCAGCTGATAAATAAAAACTTAGTTTTTTTACAGCAAGCACAAACAACTGATTACAAAATAAGTGTCTTTGAAAAGGACGAGTAAAGTTTGAAATTCTTATTTGCTTTGTTGCAAATCATAAGCATTAATTAACTCCATAGAAGGAAAATCTCTTCAAGGAAACTTTTCTTTTCCCAGAAAACTGCTGTTTTAGCAAAAAAATGCTTAAAGATCACTGGACTATAATGACCACACCTGGACCAAGCTCTGAACAGGTGTTCCCTTCCAGGACGTTCACTGGAGAGAAGTCAAAGGCTGGAATCCTGTTCTATTTTTGCACAATGTTCTCTGTTATTATTAGTAGCACTTTCACAAAAATTTAACTTGGACCAAAAATACATCCTTCTAACCCAGATAGCAGCTGAGTTAGAAGGTTGTATTTTTGGTCCAAGTGAAATTTGAAGTTAATTAGTTTGTGCAAGTTAGGATTTTGCACCAGCATCAAGGATGGTATGTTTCTGTGTTCGACTGTGCTGTGATCTTGAACCACTGGTGTCCATTTTTTTTTAACCATATGGGCCAAAACATCAAAGCCCAAAGAATTTAATTTAGAGGCCAACTCAGTTTCCATCAGTTTTTCACAAAGCAGGATTGGAGTCACTCTTTCTTAGTAAAGTATAATTAAATTCAGATTACTGTCCATCCATGTCATTATTGGCTATTTGTAATCCTACTTACTATAAAAGCAAAATGACAAAAAGCATAGATTTCTTATCTCAGACTTTCAGCTTCATAAAATGAAAAAAAAAAAAAAAAAATCAAAATATGTTTTCCTGATCAAACCTCTTTGAAATAAATACAGCATGTATGTTTAAGTTGAAGGCCTTTTAAGTTTTCTATTCACACCTTCTGTTAATTTATCTATTGTGTAGAAATACAATATCTGCCAGGCACAGTGATCAAGCTGGTTTATGATGTTGAAACTGCTCCTATTTTGAACACACTTCAATTCATTTCAAGCAGGAAATTCCTCCTCGTTTGGAGCTGTGGAAAACAGATTCTCAAAGGCGTTTTGGCAGTGCTGCTTACTGCGGCTCGATACGTGCAACAGACAGAATGCTGGCGTCCGGATAAAGCCCGACGCTCCGAGTGAAGGAAACACATTTGAAACGGTGACGTATGGCAATAAAGAAGTGATGAACCATCTGCTCTCTGGTGTGGCGCTCGGCGCATCCAGGGATAAATTACAGCCGCCTGAAACCCTTAAAAGTTTTAAAAGCTGGCAGTGAAAACAAAAACAAGTCACACTGGTGCAACAGCCAAGTCTTTTTAATCCAGCATGAAACTCATCTCCAGAACTTTAAACATTCGTTATCAGTTGAATAAAAAAAAGAGCTATAAAACAAACATAGAAAAAGAAATACAAGATATCCAATTTTTTCAGTAACTGCAATTATTCCAACCTTTAAATCCAAAGGCTTTGATTCAGCCTGTGTAGAGCCCAGTCTACACAGATGGGAAATAAAGCTGGTGGATGCCTTTTTAATGTATGGAGCTGACAATAGACGGGGAGGGAACTTCACCTTGATGAAAATGTTCTGGGAGAGCAGCCTCTGAAATCAATATACTGCACTCTGTGGGGAAAATGAGAAGAAAATGATCATATTTTTTTCTCTACCAGCAGCAACCAACTGGGACAAGGCTGCCAAAGGTCGACCAAGCAGCCTTTGGCTAACTGATTTCATAGAGTCATTAAAATAGGAGAAAAAAGTACATCAGTACATTTCTCTGAGTGATACATCAGATATGTCTCCTTACTGTAGCTGGAATGGGGGCTGAACATCCTCCACAGTTTCCTGCTAGAACAGCCTGCGGGATGCATTATTATGGCGTCCCACGGTGCTGCAGAGATCTTCAAATTAAAGTTTTCCAACTATTAATGAATAGCATGCAAACCTCCTAACTTCGAGCTCTGCAGACTGTCAGGAAATAAATATATCTAAAACATAAAACTATCAAAGCCTGGTTTGGATTTGGGGGATTCATCAGATGTGGGTTTGATGAAGTAATGAACTGCAAGATTTAAAACGTTTCATCCATTTTTTTTTTTTTTTCTCTTGACTACTCCTCCCAGACTCCAGCCTACTGATTAGGATCAGGTTGAAATACCTCATGTGGTTCTGGAGGAGTCATGTAAGGGCAGTTTGTGGGACATTACAGCCCAAATAAATGTGCTTTGATGTTTGCAGACATTCAGCTTGTAGAGACAGTTCATATAACACCTATTACAGCGTTGCATTCTGGGAGATGTAGGTGTAAATGTAGGTGAAATTACACTTGACACTTTGCCTTCTGCTTTCATTCCAACTGTACTTTTCATTTTTTCTCTTTTTACAAGAGCATTATACCAATCCTCTTAATAATATCCACTAAACGTCTTTAAACTGAGAATGGTTACAGACGTGTTCAATATTTGCTTAATACCTCATATAATGCATTGCTAAAGTATTCAATACTCCTTTAAATTTTCCACCTTTTTTCATGTCACAACCTCAAACCTGAACCTGTTTCATTTGGATTTTACATGATAGACCATTAGAAAGTAGTGGATGACAGTGAAATAATATGTATGTGGCTTGAATAGTTTTTTTTATTTTTATTTATTTAAAATAAAGATTTTAATGAGTGTAGTGCTAATTTTTATTCAGCAGTTTTTACTCTGGTAATCTTTAAATACAATAAATAGGAAACCATTGGCTTTAAAAGTCATTAAATATTTTAGGAGGACAAATATTATTTGTCTAATCCACAAATCCAGCCCTAAAGGAAGAGTGGCAATGAAAAAGGTTTTATTAAGTCCAATTTAAAGTTTGCCAGATCCTACCTGGAAGAAAGAGTCACCATGCGTTGGTCTATCACAGAAATTAAATACATTTAAGTTGGTGGTTTTACCTTACAGGAAATGAAAAATGGATGTAATATTATGCAACACGCTTTACAGGTGAAAGGTCAAAATGAACACAACAATCATAGCATCATTAAGCAAATAGGATCGGTAAAAACCTAGAAAGGGCATCAGTATGTGATGCTGATTGGAGAGTAAGGCCTGCGTTTTTTTTCTTCCATCCTTCATGTTTGACCTCTGCACAGTCAGATCTAACACCCTCCACGCTGCGGTGGGAGGAAACCACAACAACTGCGACAGATCCACCTACATCAAGCTCTGCGTCCTGATAAAAGCTGTCCTCTCGCTGTGACCGTCCACTTCCTCGATGTCTGATTCAGACTCATAGATGGTGGTGTCATCGTCAGCCCACACAGTGGGGATTCCCTTGTAGCATATTCGAGCCTTCCTCTCCCGCCCCCGCTGGAAGCCCAAACCAAAGCCCAGTCGAGTCCTTCTAGTGTCTGAAAACACAGAGGGCAGTTTGGTCCTCCAGGCCAAAGAAGCTTCTCCTGAGTTCATCTGGAGTAAGAAGAAGACCCCGACGAAGGCAGCTAGGATGAAGGCACAGCTGAGAACTGCCAAGATGACAGGAAGCTGAGAGGGCGGAGCTGCAGCGAGCCCTGGTTTCACAGCTTGTAGGCTGTTATTGTCTGCTCCAGCAACTGCTGGTGTCTTCACCTCTGGCTCAGCCTCCACAACCTGCAGTCCTCCAGGGAGAGGGGATTTCCTCTGGACCTGGTTCTGGTGCAGACAGGAGGTGAGGACCAGGTGGCTGTGAGGCGGACAGGAAAGGCAGTCTGTAGGTCCGACACCTGAGCAGGTGAGGCAGGAGGGATGGCAGGGTAAGCAGGCCTGAACAGAGGACAGATCCACCCAGTTCTCAAGCGACAGGTTGAGGAGCTGTTGGCCTGATGTGAAACCAAGGGGACAAAACTTCACACAACCCTGGAGGAAGAGGGAGAAGCCTGGGCTGCACTCTGGTAGAGGTGGAAAAGAGCAGAGATTAAGGAAAACTGTCCAGTAAGTAAGAGTCCAGTAAACACAATAAAACATACATGAGGACATAACCTGGAATATCTTTATTCTAGCAGGTAAGGCCTCATTAGCTTAGGCAACTGTGTTGAAGGATCATTGATTTTGGCAAAACAAAAATGGAGCCAAGCAGTCGCCTGGGAGCTAATCCCTAAACTAACCAGTTAAACTAGGAAGTAAACTCAGGACCTCTCCTGGACTGAGAAAACAATTGTTTTCCCTAAAGCTAGCTGTGTTAAAGGCCCTGCTTTGTTGAACAGCCAAACAGTCAGTTTTAAGCTGCCGTTTTCATCAGTAACCAGTTCTACTGTAATCCAAATTAGGGATTAGACACACTGCCCCCTGAGGGAAGAACACTGCCTGCCATTGTTCAATCAACCCCAACCAACACAAACGCAGAGTCCTGTACGGGTCTGATTTTTCAAAACTGTCTCCACCCGCTCAATGTAGAGTTCAGAACCGAGATCCAACCCGTTACTCGCAATTATCCCCATTTAAACCCAGCAGGAACCGCATGGACTTTAAATAATAAAGTGTGACACGACACAGCCGGTAATAACAGAGACCGTAAAGAACATTGTCTCACGCTCACATCCTGTGGAAAAAGAACATCCTCTACTATACCTTTAAGTGTTCATTTCCTCATTATAAATGAACAATTATAAATGAATCTTTTATATATTTTAAGCTATTTATGTTGTTTACTATAAAGTTAATCAGCAATGATAGAATAATGATTAATTGTTAAGACTTTTGTTTCCCAATTCTATTGGTAATTTTGCTCCTGTTGAGTTTTAGATTTTTGACGAAGTCAATTTTTATATTAATTTGAATTTGACTTTGATTAAGAAATATACAAAAATGACTTATTTTGGTATAATACTAGAGCTGACTGGAAAGGTGAATTTTTCACTGTTGAGGTTGATTCTGAACATTTCTGAGATGGATTGATGAGGGAACATTAATGTAATTTAAAAGAGATTCATCAGTGATGTAGAGCAGACTCTAAATGTGCTCCAGTGTTTACAGTTAATCGAATAAATTGAAACTCTTCCTTTGTTAGATGACAGGATAGAAAATCAGCAATTGTACCTCTGTTAATCTTGAATAATGATTTGTTTTTATAAATTAAAATAAAAAAAACATACACAGCTAAAAACTGTATAAGCAACGACTTTCCATTTCATTTATCTTCCTACTCTGCTAAAGGTCACCCAAACATTTTCATTTATGATGTTTTTTTCTAATTTTATTTTCATTCTTTAAACCTATAACCATATAGTTTGTTCCCAGCAGTCTGTTACAAAGAAAGTACAGATACATTCCAAAGTGATTATACTTTGAGAATTAATTGTTATGAGGATAAAATGTGACGTTATATAACAAAAATAATAACAGAACTGAATGGAATAATGGAGCTAGACAGAACTGAACCAGATACATTATGAACAGCAACAATAACATGTTGAACAAATGTGCTGTTAAAACCACTTAATTATATCCAATAACAGATTTCTATGAAAACAGATGAAAGGTAAACCCAACAACACTTTTTTAAAGGTTTGCAAACAGGAGTTTATGTCCATTGTTATGTTACGTTTCACTGCTTTTACCTTCAAGCACATAAAATTCTTTCTCCACAATTTAATAGGCTGTCCGTTGGTCTTGGAAAGGTTACGGCCAGCCACAGACATGGCTGAGCACTACTGTGTTTACTGAACATTTCATTTCAAGTATCTTCACTTGGAGGAAAAAAAACAAAAAACAACTTGCAAAGAAATATGGTTAATATTGTTTTATCCAGTATGAACACACCATAATTACAGAGGGTGTACACTACATTTAAATATCTATTTTTTTTTTTCTTTGTTAGTATTTAGGCTGTTTTTTTTCTATGTTATATCAAATCAATTATATATAACTCACTAATTTCTAAGCTCAGCTAAAAAAAAAAAGGACATCAGTGGAATTAGCTTGTATTTTTTCTTGAATTTTTGTAAACTTATTTTTTTTTAATTTAACAATGTCTGAAGACTCATTTAAACCTCTAGCCTCTATCGGTTTTACTCTTTGATTGAGATAAAAAAAACAAAAAACAAGAACGTCATCTGTTTAAAACATCTGGTTTATAAGCTTACTGTGTACTTTTACTGTGTTTGATGATCATTACTTAAGTAAAATTAACTTCTGAGATAAGATGTTCTTTTAATCTGCAATATTAAAGGATCACTGCATGAAAAACATCATAATCAGAGCAAATATATACATATATTTATATATATTAACATCCTATAAAAAAAGACACTGAACAACGAGTTTCTTCCTTTCTGCTCTGCACAAAATTGGGGGTGAGCAGGTTTCCTATGAAATCTTGGATTTTACTGAATCAGATTTTTGTTTTTCCTGCAGATTATAAAACATTAGTAATATCTGGATACAAAAACTTTACCTAATCGTTCTGGATTTCCCACTAATTATAAGCAGTGGGATGTTGGAGTTGCTTCTGATTTGTAGGCCATGTAAAAGCCTGTTTAACAACTTTAAGAGATTTTCAGAATCCTATACCTAAAAACACTCTAAACTACTTTAAATGTGGTTTAAAAAACAAAACAAAAAACAAAAGCGTCCCTGCTTTATCTGCTAGGAAAACACCTAAGAACCACAGACTAATAAAAAGGAACAATTTAATCCAACTCAGATTAAATCTACATTTCAAAATGGAAAATGAAAAACTGTTTGTCCTTATCAAATCCAAAAAAAGGGTCCAGAAAATCTTCTTTATATTTAATATTTTGGAGTAAAAACGCAATCAGGAAACAAACATTTCTTGATTTGAAGTTTGGTTTTCTTATGCTAATTAAGACCTGGAGATTCATATAATTTAGCTACAAACTGCTGAAGACAATGTTGGAAATTGGGACAAAAAGCAGAGCTAAAAACCAAACAGGTTTATCTACATTCAGCTCTGTGTAGAGCTGCTGCTCTAATGCCTCCAACCTGATCAGGTTTGGCATCTGCCAACTCTGGGACCATATCGTGACTTGGTGTCACTCTTCAGATAAGGTGAAAACATTTCATGGAAGCAGCAGCGGAATGTGTTCCTGTGTGGCTGTGGGGGCCTGAGAGCTTTCTTTAGCCTGTTGTTGAGGTAATTTCAATCCTTACAGTTGACTGTAGGTGTGAAACATTTATGGGAGGCTTCTTTTTTAGTAGTTCTGGATTTAAGCTCATTTCCCCACATAAAAAAAAAATAGAGAAAACTTTATCTGTCTTAATACAGAATGAGTTCAGTAATCTTCCCATGAGATTTGCTCATTTTATAAATCTAGATGTATATTTTTAGAATTTCTAGAAAAGTGTAATTATCTTCTTGCGGGGGATTATTTCTCTTGTCTCTTCGTTTTGTATATTTAACTTAATTTCTGACAGCCCTGGGTGTCATTTTTGGGAAGTAATTAGGAATCTGTGAGTCTGTAAATGAAAGGATTAACAGGGAAAGCAGATTTAATCTGAATGATTAAGTAGAAAGAGTCTGACTGACAAAAAGAGAGAAACGCTTTTGACCTTATGCGTCTCTGCTGAGACTGCTGACAGCACGCACCTCTTGCACTATTACGGTGTTATTTTCACCTGCTCCTTCCACGACGCCTACGCTTGTATGACATATGGCAACGTGCTAATTTATGGTGCTCAAATAAACACATGCCCATAGAGGGCTGTTAATGCCTCATCTGCATTCAGAACATTGGACTTCCAAACAACACCAAGTCCAACACATGAGGCCTGTTTCATAACAGCCATGTCCCAAAACAATAGCCAGGCAGTGCATTGCAAAGTACTGTATCACATCCTTCAAACCGTTTAGTTAAAACCTATAGTGTAAAAAAATTAGCTTGTATTCAGCTCCCCAGAGTCTATTTATCTCTGCAAAACAACCCTAAGCTTCGATCTCAGTGGAGGAAAGTGTCTCCAAGCATCAGTTTTCATCACCTACCTAGATTTATGCCTGGACTTTGATTAGGCCATTTTAAAAGATTTAGTTACTTCCATCTAAACTATTTTATTTAGTTTGATACAAAGTTCTGCTCAAACGTGAACTTCAAAACAGACCAACTCTCTTCTTTAGCCGCCCCTAATAGCTTTCCTTCCACTATGGACTCCTGTTAATGTATTAAATCCTTACCACAGCATGAGGGGATCACATTTTCAAGGTGATGACCAAAGTATATTTTTTTTAGCCACAAATAGGGTAAAAAACTCAACTCAGTCTCCTCTGACCCTAATGCTGTGTCATCTACACTGTACATGGATTGTGAAAAACTGCAGACATATTTTGTAAAGTTAATCGAACTGGCTGGAAATTGTATCAGGATACAAACTTTTCATATTCAGCAGGTCATCCCTACTACCAACCTCGATTAGCTCGGGGCCGAGAGGTTAAGAGACAAAATCCGTTCGTTGGCCTACATCCCTCAGAATGCTGTATTCTGGAGGAGATGTTTATTGAAATTTTAGTACAGTCTACTGGACCCAATTTCTATTGATATTGATTTGTTGCCTATTATGATGAATATTGTTGTGGCTGTAATTCAATTCAGCTTATCGACAGCACCAATTCACAATACAATTTATGGCACTTTAAAGAGATAATTAAATTAGATCCGACTGACAGACAGATTCCTATACCTGTCAGATTGGCCTCTTGGGTGCTCCTATGATTATCTCTGTACTTGCCTAGCAGGTCTGCTTAGACCCAAGTTGCATCCCAACAAGTTTTCATTTTGCCTAAATATTGTTAGAACCATAGTTGCCCAAAGCTTACATTTCTCTCTAAATTAATCCCTGGCCTTCCTGTTGCCTTTCTTGGTCTTCAGGATGCTGTTAGCACACACCAAGAACCTGAGTCCTTTACTAAGCAGCAGGATATACAGTAGGAATACATTATATATAGGTGTTTTTTTATTTACTTGTTGATATTTGCAAGCTAGTGTATGTATTTCATTGAACATTTATCAATCTGCATCAACAAAGGGTGTCATCTTCATATGTATACCTCTCAGAGTTTTCTCTATGAAAAACCTTTGACAGCCACATATTTGTCACAAGAAGGTATGAATATTTTTGCAACAACATTTAATCCAGTTGAATTTTTTCCAGGAAGGCAGAATGTTCTCACCAATACAGATCTGCTGGGCATCGAATGTTTTGCAGCTGTTGTTGGATGGTCGGGGGAAGTCGGGGGACGAGGGGTTAACAACGCTGGGTCCGGTGCCCCACAGGGTGAGAGTGAACTGACTCAACACACCTGAGAGGGAAACAAAGAAGGGAAGAGTTCAAAAGGAGATGGAGGTAAATATCAAGTTAGCAGTTCTCAGTGGGAGAACAGAATGAACTGGCTGAGGAGAAGATGTGGGGGCGTAAGCAGAGGTAGCAGCTAAAGTGAGGGGGGGCAAACAACTCAGGAGGTGGATCGACATCTGCAGAGGAAGAGAAAGTGCTCCTATTTCATTTGTCTCAACAGCTCTGAGTAAACAGAGCCACGGGATAAATTCAGAGGTGTTAACATCACAAACATAAGCTGGTTTCTGAGCTAAAAACATCAGACCAAAGGCTAGAAACCAAAACCCTGCTCAGCAGTTTAGATCATAAAAGCTGTTTTTTGTAGCGACCGTCGACTTTTGATACGGACAGGCTTCTGAGAGCCTGTCTCTCTTCTGGGCAGCAAACAAATAAAAAAATTACAAACTGTGTCATTAGAGAAGGAAGGAAAGAGGAACTGAAAAGCGTATTTTTAATGAAGCGTGAAAACATGCAGCAAGTCCGATGTTGGAGAGGGTGCAGCTGACCAAACGGATAATGATGATGAGTGGTTTACCATAGTCACGTTCATTAGCTGCAACGTTCTCAATTTCCAGGGACCACTCTCCTTGTGGGTCCTCATCCCAAGAGTGGGTGGTCATAAAGGCCCAGTCATTGAATCCCTCTGAAGAATAGTCATTGGGCCTTAACAGAAAACAAGTGATATAGAGATATATTTGTTATTTCTTTCTGTGTGTTTTGCTGTGAGAGAACACAGGTGGGGTTCCCTGAGAATGACCAGAATAGAAGTGCATGCACATACATTGTGTGTGTGGCACAGAACAGAGGCCCTACGTCATGCATTGGCTTCTGAAGAGCCGCGTTTAACTGTGTACCTCGGAAACAGCAGGGTGGAACGTGTGCCCAGAGGGCTGATGAGATGAATGGCCAATTTTCCTCGCTGGTTGTGGGAAAGAGTGAGGCGAGCTTGAGCGTGCTCTAGAGATCGGACATACTCTGGTCGTCCCCAGCAGGCATCCACCCTCTTGGTGAACACAAGCTTGTTTCCAATGTCTCTGCAGGGTGGGGGAGCGGATGGGAGAGTGGTTAATGTTGTGTGGTGGCAGAAAACGGACACAGGCGATCACACTGTGCTAAGAATCTAAACATCCCCAGGACAGAAAGACCCTGAGAGGGATAAGGAGACAGAGAGTGGATTGCATAAGTACAATCCCTCTGAGCTTCACTTTTCTATCTTTATACAGACTTTGCATTGACTTCAACTCATTTTCTATAACCTAACCCCGACCCACTGCTGGACTGGGACCATTAAATGGCCCTGGCATTTTTGGTCATGGCAACCCACCATGATTATCATTACATTATGGCACCATAACTTATCATATCAACTGATTTCTTATTTTCAAAAACTACATGACCAAAAAGACAGAAATATCACGCTGCAAGAATGTCTAATTCTGGCAATTTAAAGACTAAAATGAAAAAAAAAAAATACAAAAGTACCATTAATGCACAGAAACATTTTTCTAAATAATTTATTTCCAATAAAACTTGAAGCCAATATTTTCAGCAGGTAATTCTCATTTCTTAGTTTATATTCACCTGATTTCTGAGCAGATCAGCAGGTAGGAAGTAAAATTAAAACATCAAAGCTTGTGCTCAAACAGGAAGTCTCACTTTAACCTAAATATGAGGGTGTATATCTTTCTAACACTACATCATAATATAAAAAGCAATAGTTATAAATAACCCTGTTAGTTGGAAACAAAATATAATGACTGCATTATTTGAACAGAAAGCCTGTTCTGAACCTACCGCTGCACCAAAAAAAAACTGCACTTTGCATTATGGAGCTCTGGCCCTATAAGTTAAAGTGGCTCCTCAGAACAAAAGCTAGAGCAAGCACACACATACCCGCCCCCACAGCCGCAGAGTTTAAAATCACTCTTCTAACCTTGGTTCTGTGAGCATGGTGATAACACACTGGTGCTGAGGTCCCACTGACGTCCAGTTCTTTGCCAAACTCACCATAGCACCTGCATCTAGCAGACCATAGCCGTACGAATGACTCACTGAGGAGAAAAAGACAACAAACAAAAAGCACCAGAGTTATGTGGGGATCATGGCATTTTGACAAAACCAGAAAAAAATTGTTCTCAGTAACACAATAGCTGAGCCTTAACCTCAGAGGAATCTCTCTAAAATCTTTTCTTAAAAAAACCAAGTGATGTTAAACAGCACAATCCAGCCACTTTCCCTTTCTGCAGCCTCCAATAATATAATTATTTCATGTTCCTTTTAAAATCATAATAAATTCAAAGGTCTTCCAGGAGACATCCTAACATTTCCCTTTCATCTCAGCTCCCTAAAGGGTGCATGCATCTAAATGACAGCCTCTGGTAGGAGAATAACAGGCAAAGTAAACAAACATATCACCTCGCTCTAAAGACATGGCCAGACAGCTGATCGTCGGCATCACAACACAATGTGGAAAGGCATTTGAAGGAACACTAAGTGAACAGGCTGGAGCTGAGCATTAAAGCTACCATTGAGGCTGGCATACTGTAAGAAGTCGACTTTTCTGAGATGAAAGCACCTTTGGAGCCTCTTTCCTCACATATCCTGAAGAGGGCTTCTCTGTACATTTAGAAAGGAGCAGATTTGATGGGGAAATAATTCAATGCTTTAGATTATTGATCATCAGTAGGTTTAAGCAGCTCTAGAAGCTGGTAGTTATGCACTTTGCAGGTCTGGTCCCTAAAGGTGAGTGCTAGTACAGCAATAGCCAATAACTGCTGCTCATCAATGTGGATGAGGTCATTCACAAAATAAACAAATATAGTTTATTTAAAGAGACCGCTGGGAGAATGGGCCTCCTCTGTTATGAGCATGAGAGATCATCCGTCCTTTTTTTGTCACGCTTATCCCAGCTGGGGTTGGGAGGTGTGCTAGTGCCTATCTGCAGCTGTCAACTGGAGAGAAGCGGGGTACATCCTGGAGAGACTGCCAGTCCATTGCAGGGCAACACAGAGACAAACAGGAGAAACAACCATTCATGCACACTCACAAGGAGAATTTTTTAGAGAAGCCAATTAACCTAACCGTCATGCCTTTGGACTGTGGGAGGGGGCCGGGGTACCCTAGAGAACCCAGGCATGCAGAGGGAGAACATGCAAACTCCATGCAGAAAGACCTCGGGCCGCAAATTGAACTTGGAACCGTCTTGCTGCAAGGCTGCAGTACTACCCACTGCTCCACTGAGCAGCCATGAGAGATCACCTCACGTATTGTTGCACAATTTCATCCAAATGATTCACCACAATTTTAGAGCAATTTTCTTTTGGAAATCTGAGATCAAAGTTTTGCCATAACCTTCAATACAATATTAGATTATAAAACCAAATTCAAGCATTAAAAGTCTTATCTTGAATATGATTTGTGCTGGTTTTGCAGTGACAGCACCATACCTATGTCGGCCATTGCTCCTCATTATACTAACAATTGAATAGTCAGATTTGAGGCAGAATGGCCAAAAGCTAAACCAATTTAAAGATGGGGTTGCCTGACAGGACAAGGACCCAAAAGAAAGAAACAAAGAGAAAATGTAATACTAAGTAAAGACAGCAAACAACCCCGTCTGTCATCTCTCTTGGTGTATATAATCTACTGGCCTATAATGAGTCTCATTTTGTGAATATCGACTGAGGTGAAACTCTTTGGTTACAAAGCAGAACCTGCTGATAATACAGGTGGCAAACTGTGAAAGTAAAGGATTTAAGGCGACTGGTTAAAAGGCTTCAAGCCTCAAGTGACGTCTGCAAGACTAACAAGTGTGCTCTGTGCAACGTTTGATTGCTCTAACGGCATTTATAGGCTTGAAAGGTAGCAGAAAACTCAAGATTGCAAGGCTACAGCGAGTCCATCTGAAGACATGGAAAAAAAGAAGAAATGTTTTCCAGCAGAAAAGAAAGATCCAAACAGATGGTGAAGATAGACTAAAACTAAGTTTCTTGCACACATTTATTTTTTTAGATTCAATATCGTGAAACCATTGAGAATTACAACATGATCGATGTGCTGCTTTCAAACATCTGGCTGCAGCATCTCATGTAAAAACTCAACAAGACTACAAATGGTCTGAAGCTCTTGATGTAGAGCCAGAGATTGCTTTCTAGGGCTGATAATACTGATAACTTTTCATAATATTCATTTCAACATTAAATGACAGGCGCTTGACACTGTTTTTTTTTTTAACCTACACTAAGGAGGTTATGTTTTTAGGAGAGTTTGTGTTTTTGTTTGTCTGTGCAAAGGATAACTTGAAAAGTTATGGATGGATTTACCAAAGGGAAGTTAGTAAGTAAGTAAAAGCAAACATGCATGGCAAGCTTTCGGGTAATATAAAACACCATAGGCCATACAACAGCATTTGAATGGCATTTGGCCCAACAAAACATTTTAAAGCAAGACAAATATCCCATTTATAAAAAATGCTATTTCTACCTTTCTTTTAAAAGGAACCACAGAGTCAACAAATCTGCTGCGTAAAAGGAGAGAGACCCAGACTGGAGGGTCACTGAATAAAAGGATTTGTCTCATTTTGATTTCAGCTTTGCTCTGGACACCAGCTGACCAGTCGGAGAGAAGCTGTGCAGAGCAAATGGGTAGATGAACACAAAGCAATTCTGGAAGAAACCTTGTTAGAAACTGCAAAGGACTTGGAAGAAAAGAAAGTCTCATCTTCCAAAGCAATAAAAACCAACAAAACACAGCAAGAGCTACAATAGACTAAATAAGTTTAGATTAAAACATATTTCATTGTTAGAATGAACCCCTGAAAGCCCAGACTTGAATTTAATCATTTAATCATTCAGTCAGTAATAAAAACTTTATTTTAGTAAAAAAAAAAAAAAAAAAAAACAATAAAAAAGCTATGCATGCTTTTCCTGTAGCGTTGCATTTCCTACTTTAACATTAAATCAATAATATTTATGTCTGTAGTGTGATTCAAAATAATGAAAATAAAATGAAAACATATTAGTTGTTTGAATTTATATAGCAAGTTTCTACAAGTTTCTACTGACTAATAACAGTACTTTACGCCATTCCCTTTAATTGCTTTTAATTCTCACTGACATTTTACAGCAGGAGGCTAAATCACACCTACAACTTTAACCCCCACTGACCCAGAGCCACCCCTAAACACAGACAATATTACATAGATTCACTCTAAAAGTGCTGTAAAACTTTAGGCTTTAAGGACAGAATGCTTTCTTTTTGCTTTGTTTGTGCACAAAGCTATAAGAAAGGAGCATTTTCAAAAAAAGCAAGTGCTGATTCAGCAGTTATCTTGGTCTTTTAATGCTAGAAATAACTCTATATATTGCCAAATACAATTCTAGTGATGATGGGTATTATATTCACATATAATGTTAAAAATCATTGCTGAAAAAATAAAAGCTTAGGAAATTCAGAGGGATATTTGGTGCCTTTGTGTTGCCAAGGGACATAGCACATTTGAAGGATTTTGGATCGAAAGGCCAAATTTCTGATTTCTAAAACCCTGCCTGCACCTCCTGAGCCACAGCTGCTGGTTATTTGTAAAATACTGCATGAAAAGAAGAAAAAAAAAACCCTACAACATCTGCTATTAAAATCTGAGATGGTCTATAATGACTGCAGTACTCTGGCTCTGCAAGAAGAGATTGCAGAATTAATTTAACCATCTTTTTTTAAGATAGTGACAAACAATTTAGAACTTTTTGGGACACAGAATGGATTTGTAAAAAAACAGAACAAGAACACACCCACACACGACAGTGAGGGACAAACATAACTCCAAACTATAAGATAAAATCTGTGCTTTATTTAGACTAATAAAGATAATCAGTACCAATGCGTCCCACTCCATTGGTCTTCCAGTCTCCGGTGATAAGATGCCCCGGCAGGGATGTCCTCACCACGAGGTGCTGCATGTCCCTCCAGGTTAGGTTCATGCTGAAACACACAAAGCCAAAGGGCAATTTAACTGTATTGACTTTCTGTCATGTAACAGATGAAGGTAATAATTTCAACATTATGCACATTATGAGGGAAGTCAGGTTTCGCTGACCTCAACAGCACAATAATGCAGCAGAGGAAATGTAAGGAGCTGAGGGACATGGAAAAGGTCAGGGGACGGCAGACACACCTGAAATATAATCAATCTCAGCTCCTGCAGCGAGGACGAATGGACACCTTTGAAATAACACACTGAGATATCAAGGAGACTGGGGGATATATGACAAAGCATCTTAACTAAGCAGCTACAGTGTTTTTCAATACTGATCATAACCTGTTGAATGTTTCCATACTCTATGTCTTATTTGGACATTTGTGTGGACGACTGAGACAAGACAGAGCATAACTGTTAAGTGGAAAGAAAGGAAATGTTTCATTTAAGTGCTTGTGTAAATTCTCACCCGGATCATGGCAACCAGAAAACAGGTTTAAACCAGAGGCAAAAGGACTTTCGATCAGTTTTCACCTATCAAAGAATCTTTGCCAGTTGTCAAAGACCCACCTGTTCCTCTTCTGGGTTCTTCACTGTGTTTTGGGTTATGTGCTCGGCTATTACATTATGATGGGAGTGCTTATTTAATTACTTTGTAATCATTTCAAGGAGTGAACTGTAGCTGCTTGGAAGCTGAAACCTCAACCCTCCCCCTCTGTTCAGTGTTGACATTTCCTTTTTAACAAAGATGGCTTCCTTTACACCTCTTTCAAACCATCTCTCCTCTCTATCAAAAATCAGAATGGTTTGGGCATCAAAGGCGTGTCTTTTGGTCTTGAGTTGACAGTCTACAGCTGAAGCTTGCCTATACTGACTGGCTGCTCCTATGCTGTTTGTGTTCTTTATAATAATATCATCAGCCCTGTAAGTTGCGGTGATAGAAAGTTTATGTACCTTAAACAGAGGGGGAGGACTCAGGTTTCAGCTCTCAAACACCTAAAACGAAACAGAGTTGATTCCTTCCAAATATCACCTCCATCCTCACTGCCATGCAGGTGGTCAAACATCGCCCCTGTTAAGCCAGGCCAACAACAACCCTAACAACTCCCCTTTTTCAGAGGCATGGACCAGTTTCAGGTTAATTTGCAGGCCAAAAACTGACCTGTTTTCGGTTCAGTTTGCATGTTTTCTAAGCCATAACAAAGCTTAAAGTCTGGAACTCAACGCTAATCCGGACATTTTGAATTGAGAAAGCTGTCTGGATGGGAAGCTAAATGTCTTCAAACTTAGAAAACAAAGTCCAGGGGTTTGTTTTTAACTTTGTTTGGAATGACTGAACTGAATGACTGAGAATCTTCACCATATTCCAGTGGATAATGCAAGTCAAAATTCCGGTATTGGTTTGTATGTGTAGGTTTCTGGTAAACTTCAGTATTAAGCGGTAGTCGAGTTGTAAAAAAAAAAAAAAGAATGGGGATGGGGGATTTTTTTTTGTGGAAGTATACATAGTCTAACTAATATATTCTATTAACCTAAAGCAGTATCACTAACACTGCCCCTACATAGATAAGGATCAATTTCCAACTGGGATCAGCTTCATAGTCATGGTAGGACACTTCTTATATTTTACTTTGGATAATCTTTTGGCAATTAATCTATTAAGATTTGGAACAAAATCTCATAAAACATTGCATATGAATATATGAATCTGTTCAAGTAAAGTATTTTTTTATTCAAATTCAATTAATTAAATTGAAACAGGTAAAATAATTGTTAAAATCTGAAAAAACTGCTAATAAATTTAAATGCCTTAGAATTAACCTGAAAATGAAATAAGCCTATATAAAATATAATAATTTCACTCACCTTTCAAATATTAATTTAGAGTATTTATCTTATAAAGTAGACTATCAAAAAATCTGTATTGCTTCTATTGGCTAATTTAATGTAAGCTAGACTACTTGCTGGCAATGAATTAGTTAAAACTTTCCTAACAGGTCCATCGAACTAAGCTATTTACCACTGATTGGACGACAGGCTTTATCTAGCACCTTATAGTGCATTTTAGGACAGCCAATAGCGGCCTTTCTTGCTGGGGAGTTGGAAACACTGGTGAAGGGATTAGAGGAGCAGAGTAAAAAAGCTATTGAAGAAAAATTCAAGATTTTGTCAAAAAAAGTGTTTAAATATATGAAAGAAACTTCTCATTAAATTGAAATGGATCTTAGAGTTCAAAAAGTTGGTGTTCTCCACACATCCCATACTGCTGAGTTCTTTCTATATTGTGGCATTTTGTCAAAAAGAGCCAGCACCATTGCAGCCATGCAAAATTATGTATATAATAAAAATATAATATTTCATAATTGGGATATAAAAAATATATGGTTTTGACTAATTCAAAGTAACTGAAATTGTGATTATAATTCTGGATGTGTGACACTTTAAATGATGAATCAGATGACGTCATTTGAGGTATCTCAAAATGCATTTTGACTCCCAAAAATGTGATTAAAGATATCACACTGTTGTTATCCACTGCACTGTTTACACTTTGAGCACTGCTGCACTTTTTGTATAACTCGTGTGTAACAATCCGGAAATGTATTCCATCTCATTTGAAATATCAATGCAATGTTCATAAGCTGTATGCAACGCAATTTCGTTCTGTATGCACTCATTTTAATTTATTTGTCATTTTGCATACAAAATGACAAATAAAGAAGTCTAAGTCTAAGTCTGTCTTTGCCTAGGGTCCAAATTTCCTAAATCCACCCCTGCTTCGATTATCTCCTCCGGGTTTTATCTGTTGTGCCTAGAATTACCTCTCCTGTCGCGGGGGCGCGCATTGCCCTAAACTCACACCCATTGATGAGAAAACGGATTGAAATATAAACGAAAAGGGAACGTTTAAACATATTCCCAATGTTTTCATATTTCTTATAAATGGATGCCTTAAAATTGATAGTTTTGGTGGACAAATAAATTCAAATTAATAGGATTTTACTCTTATGGAGACATGTTTCAGTCAATGTCCTGCAGTCAGTGTGCGGTGAATAAATGCTCTGCTCAGTGGATGCCATGCGAGTTCTCGATTTTGCTATCAACACCATTCTAGATCATTTCTGACACTTTATTTGTTAAACTTAGAACCTGGAACCTGCCTTCCCCTCCTTATTTTCACATTTATTGTCCAAGACTTATGAAATTCATACCACAATCACAGAGAATGGGTATGATTATGCAGAGAAACTTGCATAATTGTAAGAATATTATTTCTCAAACTAAGCAGGGGAGGAGGATCTTGGCAACTTAGAACCTGGAACCTGCCTAAGATTCCCTCCCCTCCTTATTTTCACATTCCCTCAAATTGCATTGTCTTTGCTGCTTGGCCGTGATGCTGTTCAGAACAGTGCAGGATGTGTGCTACTCCGAAGCGCACAGCCCGCCAAATGTTGGAAGGGCGATATTGCCATTACTGTTAATATTTAATAGACATTTACATATTCAGTGATAAAATGTCACAGGGGATGGTATGGGGGTATGAATATTTAAGAAGGGGGAAGATTTTTAAGATTTTTTAAGAAGGGGGAGCCATCCCCCCTCATCTCCCTCAACTCGAGTACTGGTTTTAAGACTCCCATTGTCCTCGATGTGCAGAGCACAGTTCAGAAAGAGCAACATGTTGTTCCTGGCATCATCTCTAGTATCTTGATGTTTCTGTCCACTGAGTTGATCCAAGTGTCATCCACATATCTGAAGCAGTGAGATGGTTGTGTTACCTTGTGTGTGCTGAGTGCTCTGCTCTCCACCTCTTCCATGTTGATATAGTCCAATAAAAGTGATGCTAAGGAGCCCATAGTGCACCCATGTCTCTTTCAGAAAAAGTTTTTAGTGTATTTGAAATATGTGCAGAAGTCCAACAGGTCACAAATCTGGACAGGTGTTAAAGTAGTCTTGTCCTTTAGCTGGGTCTTGACTGTGGTCACTGCTTTTTTCCCCATTCTTTTATCATATCAGCGATCATACAATCAAATGAAAGCACATCATTTTTTCCGATTCTAAAGGGGAAAATGTGAAAAGCTTTATGAAGTATGGATATAAATGCAGTGAAACTGATATGGCAAAGTTACATTTTTCTGTGTAGTTTATTGAGCTGAAAGGTCAAGTAACACCATAAAAAAGATAAAAAGTTGAATGGCATCAATTCTTCTTTGAGAAGCAAGTTTAAAATGAGGTCTGGGACTAAGGGCCAAGATCACCTTCTACAAAACACCGCTATCATAAAACACTTTTTTTTTTTCTCTCATTTAGATGTAATGAAGAAACCTCGATTAGAGAAGCTTGTAAAACTCCAATAAAGAGAAACTCTTCAGAAAGCTTGAATAACAAAACTATGAATCACCATGCTTACTAAGCTCAGCACCACAGTTGACTGAAATAGAAGNTTGGCAACTTAGAACCTGGAACCTGCCTAAGATTCCCTCCCCTCCTTATTTTCACATTCCCTCAAATTGCATTGTCTTTGCTGCTTGGCCGTGATGCTGTTCAGAACAGTGCAGGATGTGTGCTACTCCGAAGCGCACAGCCCGCCAAATGTTGGAAGGGCGATATTGCCATTACTGTTAATATTTAATAGACATTTACATATTCAGTGATAAAATGTCACAGGGGATGGTATGGGGGTATGAATATTTAAGAAGGGGGAAGATTTTTAAGATTTTTTAAGAAGGGGGAGCCATCCCCCCTCATCTCCCTCAACTCGAGGACTGGTTTTAAGACTCCCATTGTCCTCGATGTGCAGAGCACAGTTCAGAAAGAGCAACATGTTGTTCCTGGCATCATCTCTAGTATCTTGATGTTTCTGTCCACTGAGTTGATCCAAGTGTCATCCACATATCTGAAGCAGTGAGATGGTTGTGTTACCTTGTGTGTGCTGATTGCTCTGTTCTCCACCTCTTCCATGTTGATATAGTCCAATAAAAGTGATGCTAAGGAGCCCATAGTGCACCCATGTCTCTTTCAGAAAAAGTTTTTAGTGTATTTGAAATATGTGCAGAAGTCCAACAGGTCACAAATCTGGACAGGTGTTAAAGTAGTCTTGTCCTTTAGCTGGGTCTTGACTGTGGTCACTGCTTTTTTCCCCATTCTTTTATCATATCAGCGATCATACAATCAAATGAAAGCACATCATTTTTTCCGATTCTAAAGGGGAAAATGTGAAAAGCTTTATGAAGTATGGATATAAATGCAGTGAAACTGATATGGCAAAGTTACATTTTTCTGTGTAGTTTATTGAGCTGAAAGGTCAAGTAACACCATAAAAAAGATAAAAAGTTGAATGGCATCAATTCTTCTTTGAGAAGCAAGTTTAAAATGAGGTCTGGGACTAAGGGCCAAGATCACCTTCTACAAAACACCGCTATCATAAAACACTTTTTTTTTTTCTCTCATTTAGATGTAATGAAGAAACCTCGATTAGAGAAGCCTGTAAAGCTCCAATAAAGAGAAACTCTTCAGAAAGCTTGAATAACAAAACTATGAATCACCATGCTTACTAAGCTCAGCACCACAGTTGACTGAAATAGAAGCAGAATTTCACCGAAGCACATCTCCACCCTCCATCCACATCAGCATACCTGCCTCACATCTTCTCTTGTGTTATTAATGGGCATCAACCAAGAAGAGGGAGAGGGATAATAATAAAAAAATAATAAAACAACAGAAAGTCAAAACCTCCCTGCCCATTAAATGATCCCATCTGTAGAAGTTTCAGTTCTGGATCCAGTCTGATAAAGCAGCTATGCTGTAATTACTGCAGCCTGTCATAAGGAGTTGACTGCTGGAATGCACCAAATACCACCTGATAACTGATAGTCAGTGCAGTGAAAACACGAACTCTGTCAGTTGCTGCCCATCTCTCATGATATATCACAGCTGACAGCGCTGAGATAAGCCAGGGAGGCTGAAGAGGCTTACCTGTGCTGTAAAGCTGTGCTGGATTGGATTCGACACCTGTCATCACTAACTCAGACATGGGGGAAATTATGCAAAGTGGAGAGCAGCACAATGATAACCCAAACTCAACACATGCAAGATACAAGTGCAGATAATGCACTTTGTAGAGAACACGTTAGATGGCTCAGGGAAGCTTGGGACACCTGCACTCCTATGTGAGCGATAATGAGAGAGATTCTAAGGAATAAAAATCTTCACAAGCAGCCCTACAGGTATTTGACTGTCTGTGTGGGCTGAAGCTGCTGCTTTATCACGTTCATTAAGTGATTATCAAAAGCTTAATTTACTGTGGAAAGAATATCTGCTGGGATTCTGTGCAGGGTTCCCAAAGGCATCTATCAAGTCCCAGCTGTGAACATACACCTCCCATGAAGACTGGGCTGAGCATGATAGTAAAAGATAAAACTAACAATATTATGCCCCTTCATCAGTCGGGCCTACTCAAAGAAAATGTACTGCTCAATCCTTTCCTATTTTCACTGGTTGAAATGCCTGAGTTTAAGTTTAAAGTTCATAGGGAGTGTTGGCCTAGTGGTTAGTGCACTGTGCTTGTGCTCTGAGAAGGTTGCAAGTACCCGGTTTAATCCCTACAGCCTCCACTCTGGGTTCCTGAGCAAAACGCTTAACCCTAAACTGCTCCCTGGGCGCTGCACAGTGGCAGCCCACTGCTCCCCAAGGGGATGGGTTAAATGCAGAGAGTGCATTTTCCCACTGTGAGATAAACAAAGGAATTTACATCAGATTACATATATACTAAGACACTGATCTACAAACTGTGAGCATGTAGAACAACACAGAACAACGGGCCTGCAAAGTTGATCAACTAACAAGGTTCACACAGTTTGCATCGGTAAATTAGCAAAACAACAGGCCAACAGTTTGAGGGTCTGTCTTTATGCAAAACAAATTTTGCTCCTCATAATGTGCAAAATGATGTGAGGACGGAGTGTAAAAGTAATTCTTCACCTTCCATAATAGGATGAATCATACATGAAAACTGCACATGTAGTTCTTAGCTCTACATTTTGCATGTATGAAAGACAGGTGCAAACCCATAGGCAAACAGCTGCAATCAATCTGAAGGTGACTTACGCACAATGACAAAGAGAGTCTAAATCAAAACAGTTCTAAAGAACTTTCCTTTTTGGTTGATTGAAGGAAGATATTATTTCCCATGAGAACCAGGGAGTAGCGTGGTAAAATCGTGATCTTCCGATCACCTGCAGTTGGATTGAACTACATTTCTGTTTCAGAGATGTAGTAAGGCTTAGGGTTAGGTTTGGGTTAATAGTGATGAGGTAATGAATCAAATGGGCTCTATGCACAACTCTACTACTTCCTGAACTCAAGGCAGCTCTCTTGTTTCCTGTTCTTTTCTATTGGATGATTAATACAGGTGTGCCTGACCTTAGTAACCATGGCCAGACGCACCTGGATTAATCCATTCATCTATTAATGAATGGATTAAAGCTGCCTTGAGTTCAGGAAGTAGTGGAGTTTGCTGAAACAATGTATGACGATGTTAAATATAAGAAACGTTTAACTTTGGTCTTGTACTGTATTCCTGCACCACCGCCATTGTCACCCCAATCCCCCACCTCACCCAACTCATAAGGGACTGATGTCCTGACAAATTTAGAGCCTTGAAACAGATAAATACATAAATAATGTCACAGTAAACACACACATAGATCCCAACAGAAAGGTGCTGCATTGCCTGAATATCAACCCTGTACAACATGCACAAATATGCGGTCTCCCTGGGAAATAAAGTCGGATAAGCTTCTGTCTTTACAATGAATGGGGATAGGGAGAAATGATGTATGTCATAATGCTGTCTTCTCACTCAAAGTTGTTTTGTGTGGCAGCATTACTGCCACCCTCCTCAAAGAAGCTTAGTACTGGTAAAAGTGATACAACCCAGACAGAGGTGTCATTCAACTAGATGTAAGTAAATGTACTACCACAAAAGTTGTGTAAATATTTTATAAAGATTGAAAAGTTACTTAGTGTTGGTTTAATAAAGTAGACATATCTATGTAGGAATGCCATGGAGTTGCAGCGTGATGGAGTTGCACGCTTCTATAGTGTGAAAGATGTATGTATGCCACCCATTTGGTGGCATAAGAGTTGTTGCCAAGACCAAATAAAAGACTAATTTGCACACAGCATTTAATTTACCATTTTATAAATGGAATGTGTGTGTGTGTACAGAAATACATATAATACTATCGTTATATTTTTTTGGAGTATTAAAACGGACAAAGTCTTGTAGATTATCTTTTTGACAATAACATGAAAAAAATACATCTACAATTACCTGTCCCACTGAACAATCAAATACTTAAGAGAATTTACAGACTGTCAAATAAAATAAAGTGCTCACTGTTAATAAGAGGGCGGGGCTAATGTTGACACTCTTTAAAATCTTTGTCATCTTCTTCCATAGTGAGTTCTGTCATGAATTTATGAATTTATTTCAAATTAAACTAAGGATAAAGAGGCAAATGAGTGATATCATTATATTTTTTTTAATTATTGTTTTAATGGCCTCATTTAATGGGTATATTTAATTTTTCAATGGTACATTTAATTATTTAATGATGCATTAAATAAAAACGTCTCTGCTATTCCCTATGATGCATAGCTTGAGTGTTTTGGGTGTAACAGTGTGTCTGAAAGGTGTCTGTTCTGTTTTATTGTATCATATTTTTCTCTAGTTTTATAATGTGATTTTTATTCTCTTTTAGGATGACTTGTAGCATCTGTTCAGGGACCGCAGATGTAAAATAGCCCTCATGTTAATTCTGGCATACTTACAACAGGGCTGAATAATGTGTGTTGTCCCTTTATTCAGAAAAATAAAATCTATATAGGCGGGTTTAATAATTTAATTAAACATTTAATGGTAAATTTACATTTACTTTTATATATTCATTCACATTATTTATTTTGGTCCTATACTTATTTATTTCAATTTTAAGCCTCTGTATGTTTTTAACCCTGCATGGATTGGATAAACCTATTTGAGGTTAAAATACATCATTAAATGCTAATAATTAAAAGCTATTTCCTCAATGAGTGCATATACACTTCTAACTGACACTGCATGTTAAATAGAAAAAAAGTATTCCAATTAGAAAAGCAGGCAAGTGGCTCAGTTTTCATAGTCATCTGTGTCATTCCAACTCACTTTGCCTCCAGAGCCAGAGCAATGATCCCAGCAGCCAGTGGGGCTGAGGCAGACGTCCCCGTGTGAGAGTCAGTGCATTTCTGCCTCAGGTCTGTGGTCACCTTAAAGAGAATAAGACCAGGAAGAAGTGCACATAAATACTAAAGGAGAGAGACAGAGGTAATATGACACTTCACTATGAATTCACAGCATGAGAAGCTGAGTGTTAGACAGGGGAGGGCAAAAGATAATATGAGTTTTCCCTGCAGCTATCTAAGATGGAAGAAGAATGAGAAGGAGGAGGACAGAATGAATTGGTAGGTTCAGTCTCAGGTTTATGGATGCCTGCCAAGGGGTCACAGGCAGGACAGCAAATGTCAGCCAAATCGGTCAAAGCCAGGTCTGGCGCTGGTGAAGGGTCTTAGTGCTCCATGCACGCTTGTGATCTTCCTGTCTGTCAGTACCAGCTAATGATGCCTGTCTGGGTCACGATGAGGACACACTGGTAATGACAAAGAGGCTAGAAGCCAAGGCCGGCTGTGACGGTTACAGAGGCAGGATCTGTTTGCAACTTTTGCCCTGACAGATTGTGGCGCTAATGATCATTTTCAGGTGATGATCTCTCTGTGTCAGAGGTGTAAACAAAAACTGTCGGGTCTGAAGGGGATAAATGTTCCATTTGGAGCTGGACCAAAGATATAGATTTAATAAATATCTGATAAAGGTATTCATTTGGTCCAAATTTAAATAATATGATGTGCACCTAATATCATATGATAATATATGACTATTAGCTGTATTTTGGGGCCTGCTTTGTGATATTAAGAAATAGTTTTGTTTAGGAATACAAAACTATTACAGATAATTTTCAGGCTTTTAATATCTGCCCACTCAAAACGATTTTATCATATGATAAAGCGGTTTCCATGTCTGTGTTAAGAAACAAAAGCAATTCCACACCATGACTAATGTTTACAGGCTTAGCTGTCTGCCACCCAAAGAGACTCCTTGCTTGGTCAGTCAGATGGACAGTCTATGTTTGCTTACAAAACAAACAAACTTCATACTATAGTAATTTGTATGTCATGGTTATATATATTGCATGCAGTTAAACTATGTTTATAAAAAAGAATGCTTCTAAAGACTGATGAAATTTGTTGAAAGTACAGTAAAGACAAATGCAGACTTCTCGGAATTTATTGGTGTGAAAGATTTTGGAAATCATGTACATTTTTTTCTATTTCACAGTCATGGAAAACTTTCTACTGGTCTATACCTTAAAACCCTACAATGATACATTACAGTTTGCAGTGAAGAGTTACAAACATGAGAAATGTGTGGGTGGGAATACATTTGCAAGGCACCATAATGTACATACAGACCTTTACATTTCTGAATGATTTTCACCGGTTCTTTGAAATATACTGTTAATTTTTTTGTATTGTCTTGCTTATGTTTACTTAACGTAACAACAATGTCTTGGCCAGAGCAGATCCACGTGTTTTTCTATAATGTTTGTTTTCCTTTAACAAATATTTACCAGATTTTGATGCAATAAGCAAAGCTCTGCTGAGTGACGGCCATCTTTGGCTTTTTCACTTTATTCTCACATTGGCTATACATCTGCAGCAGTCTTTCTGTGGCTGCTTAAGTTAAAAATTTCCAATATAATAATTTTGTAATACTAATGTGCCTAAATTCATAGGTCTATGTGAGCACACTTGACCATAAAACAACATAATTAGGATAATCAGAATTAACCAACCGAAATTTTAAAAATAAAAGTGACATTTTGATGCACAGTTCTTTTAAGAAATACTTTTATATTTAGTATATTTATGTTCATTTGTGACTGAATGGTTATGCATCCTTCTTTCCTTCTAGCAAAAACATATTTAAGTGTGCAGTTGACATATTCTGCCTTAGAATGTGTTTGTTCCTTCTATGTTGTATAATTTCTGACACCAATTTAGACATGTTAGACTATCTGTGAACCTAAATGGTCTTCAAGGGTTTAAGTGTTTGCTCTAAGGATTAAAGTCAGTTATTTTCTGATTAATTAGGAGAAAGCATAATTTACACTTTGGTTTTTTCTTTTTTAATAACTCAAGATCTCAGAAAGCTAAAAGGTCATAAAATCCAATTCCTTTACAGTGTAATGTTCATGTTGGATTGCTGTAAAAGCCTCTCCACTGCAACTGCAGCAATCACACCATCAGGTCACAGAGATCATAAAAACCAGTGTTAGACAAAGAGACGTAGCATTAAATCATTTTCAGGACAAACACCAGTCTTCTAATGCTGCAGCTGCAAAACCCAGCCGGTGCTGCTTTAGTTCTTGAAAACAAGATTCATTTTACCCATTTTGATGAGGTGCATTTGTTTGCCTGCAACAGCCCTCTGGTGTATTTTGGATTAAAAAAAAGGCAGATTCATAGTTGTTTCAAGTGATTTTGTGCCCTGGAAGCAAGCCTTTCATCAGCTGACAAGCAGCTTGAAAGAAGCATGTGACATTTTCAGTGTTTGTCCGCTCTCCTTGTTGGATGTTACACATCAGACGTTCTGTTTTCTGACAGTTTTATGCTTTTTACTACATGACAGACAAATGCTTAATGTGAAAATCCACCGGATTACATATATATATTTTATGATGCTTCAACGGCAATATCTGGTAGGCAGATATGGTTCATTTTCTTTATTTAATTTCCTGAAATAAGTAATGTATAAAAAAATGAAGGTAATATCAGTAAGCAGGAGGATGTTTTCACTCACTATCTGTTTCTCCCCTGGATTCCCAGAGCTGTAGGTGGTAGCCAGGGTGGAGGAGCAGGGCTCGCTGTACCACGGCACGTTGCCCGACTCTGTGGTGCTGCTGATGGACAGTGTGTAAATACTGTTGGTGTAGCCGTCACAGTTGCAGCTGTCCTGTTCTCGGCCACCGTTGCCTGAAGCCCAGACGAAGATGGAGCCCAGTCCGCCGCGGCCCTGCAGTAAAAAAAGAAAAAAAAACATAACAGAAAATCACCATGGAGCTGAAAGCCAGAAAACAGTAAGGAACTAACAAGGACTTGCTGAAGTGTGGAAAGCTGCTTTTGACAAAGATGTTTGTCTCTTTTCCTGAACGGCATGACATTTTTCATCTTTCCTTAGAAACTCTGAACCACTGGAGGTGCAGAGATGTGTCAAGTAGTAAATCAAATAAAAGAAACAATGGGAATGTAATCACTACACACGGTCAAGCTTAGAATATTGGTGAATAAATCACAGCTTGATATTTAAATGAGAACAACATGAAACTTGGATACACAGGGTTAAGCCCAATATTGTACAAAGCCCTGACAGATTGAATTTTTCTTTTATTCAGGCAAGAACTTTAATGTAGGTTGTATAAATGTGAAAAAAATGTTTTTTTTTTAAATAATTAAATTTAAAAACACACACAAAAAAAACAACTATTTATACCCTCCTTAATAGTCGGTAAAAGGATATTCAAGGAAAATACATTAAAAAAAAACTCTTACGATTCCAGACCAGCTTTTTCCACATCTCCACCCATCTTTAGTAATTATCACTAAATCTTCTATGTCAGAAACTCTGATCCAATTTAGTACTCACTTCCAGTGAGACGATACACGTTGAAAAATGTAACAAGTACTTTAAAATAAAATCTGCTAGCAGTATAAAACATTGTGTGCTGAACTGTATGTGTGAGAATTTCATATATGATACATGTGCATTTTCATCAGGAGGAGCTGACTGAGTTATTATTATTAGGATTATACTTATTCATCCTAAAAATATCAATAACTCCTATTCCAGATCATGATGCTCTAATTCTCAAATCAAAACATCCATACTTTTGTTTTTAGGCACTTGATGAATGCTAAATGATTGAGATCTGTGGGAACTGTATTTCCTTCTACCTGTATTAGTCCACAGTGTGAACGCAATGTGCTGTTGCTAATCATCTGTCATCCAGAAACAATGGCAGAGTGTAAACGGAGTCATGCGTGCAGCTCTTACAGCTTTACAAACAGCCACGGTGTGGTCTGTTATCTTTGTGGAAAAACGGTAAGGACTTGTGACAGCAGAACAAAAACTGTGAAACACCTCAGGTTAAAACAACAACACAGAATAAGAGGCATTTACTGCGAGGAGGTGGACAGAAGAGGAGAGCACAGTCAGATGCTGTAGTTAGAAAAAAACAAAGACAAAATCTGGGCAGTCATTCAGTGCTGAAAACTATATACAAAAGAAATGTCATTTTATGTTTTACACATAAGTAATGTTAACAGTTTTAGGTCAGTATTGCAGATACCAGCCTGTGTTTTATTGTATTGGATTAGAAAGGAAAAAGGCAGTACTAGTCAATCAATACTAGTAACAAGGTTCCAGAGAGAAATCTTATGAACCATTTCTTTAACAAAAATCTATGTAGCAGCACCAGGACTAAATTAGTTTGTTTGTACTGCGACATAATAACCCTTGTTACAGATACTCATCCTCGTCTCTTAAAATTAATTCTGAAAATTGTTATACTGGCTTTAACTTATTTTATAACACATATGAAACTGAACTGCTGACAGTTTTGCGCACGCTTAATTCATTTTGGCTCCATTTTGTTTTCTTATCTAAAAGCCAGAAGTCTGCTCCCTAACCTTCTGCACCGCTGACCATCTGTATCTCAAAATATTACTGATTGTTGCCAGAGACCAGTTGTTGCAGAGCATCCCTGAGGCCTGAATGGAGTGGTGAGCATCGGGGCATCTCATGTCAGGGCTGCACAGCTCTGAAACAGCTTGGGGGCTGCAGAGTGACCTCAGGGTCCCTTTGTTAAAATTAATGCTTATTTTCCAATAGGCTGATTAGTTCTACATGATCTGCTGTCAGATGTGATCGTGAATTTATTCAAACTCATAGTGAAAGTAGATTTCTTGTCATGGAACAAACATTTGCTTCAACTTCCCTCTTGCTTCAAAAAACAACAACAACAACAAAATCAATGGAGAATTTATACTGAAACTTTATATTAGTGAAATCATCGTCCCTCCCAATTTACATAAAAAGCAAAATGAACATGTAACATTATCTTTTAAAAACCAGTCCACATTATGTGACTTTAAAATCTAAAACTTCATTTGATTTTATGTGATTGACAGTTAAGAAATGGCAAATATTTGTGAAGTGGAGAGTTGTACAGGGGTCTTTACATTATTCCCAAACAGAAATATGAAAAGATATGCTTATGTTTGCAGCCCCTTCTATTCTGGAACCTCTAAATAAAATCAAGTTAATCTTACACAAAAACATACAGGCTGGTCAAGAAGAGCTGTTGACAAATAGAACAACCATCGGCCACAAACCTGAATAATCAGATTTTTATAAGGATAATACTGATATATAAAAAAAATAAAAACAAAACAAAACAAACCAAAAAAAGAACACACAAAAAGCACTGCTTGCAGTTTTTTCTTAAGAGGTTTTGGAGTCACAGTAAGCGTAGAAGAAGAAGTCACATGAGACAAATACGTAACTTTTTGAACATGGTGGTGGTAGCATCATGGTATGGGCATGCTTTTTTTCATCAGGGGCAGTGAAGCTGATCAGGGTGGATGGGAACATAAATGGAGTTAAACATAAGGCCAACTGTAATGAAAAACCAATTGGAAGCTGCAACAGAGGTGAGAACTAACCCTAGTTCTCCTTTCAGTAGAAAGGAGAACTACTTAAAACCAGAAGTAAAACCGGCTTAGATCAACCAATCTGATAGAATGGCCATAGACAAGTCCAGACTTAGTTTAATTGACAATCTATGGCTGGACTTGACAATATCACCTGGAAACGCTCCATTCATTGAGTTTAAGCTATTTTATAAAGAATGGAAATTTTTTTTAACAAATCTGGAAACTCAAAAAGCAAAAGAATAAACACAGTGAAAGGTGGTTCTATGAAGTGGGACAAGACATCTGAATATAAATACAAAGTATGTTGTTTTTGGATTCTTATTTTAAAACAACAGACATTTCATTTTCGCAAAGGTGGTGCTTTATTTTAGTCTGTCAAACAATACTAAAACATGTCATTGAAGTTGGAGTTTGAAGCTCATAAAGTCTATAAAGGTTAGGTAGTGTGAAAATTTGTGCGAGGCAGTGTCATAAATTCTATTTGCAAAAACCATCATCAAAAATGAGAAAAAGGGGGTTCATACCAATACATTTAACTGAAATGAAAAAATGCTGCTGTGAGTTGATACGCTTGTCTAGTTACCCAAAGATTTACCCTTTTATCAGTGATGCTATGATGTTGTTTTCCTTGGCGCAGTTATTCAGTGAAATGTTAAGCTCATAAGTCTACAAAGAGACCTTAATTGGACCCGAAGACAGATTTTTAAATGAGCTGGTATAGGCTTTTTTTTTTAATGAGGATTATCCATTTAATTTACTTAATTGATTCCTTTACCCGTGTCTCACAAATGATCGTTCTTTATACGATGGGATAAATGAGGTTTTGCTGAGTGTTGGATGCAGTCTCAATCGAACGGGCTGCTCACACCAGAAACTGTACATAACACTCCTAAACCGTCCGGCTCAATTTATGACCCGGTGCCGCCTTTTGCTGGAGTTTACAGAGACCCGATCAAGAACACTTTAACGGCAGCAGTTATCTCGCTGCAGGGAGAACACACGCTGAACCAGAGGGCTCCTGTTGTTTTCCTGTCAGGTAATTTATCTCCACTAACACGCCATGATATGTGGAGCTCTACACATTTCAGGACGTGAACTATGAGTCATTTGTTGCCACAGAAAATTTGCAGTTTCATTCATTTGCATGGCAATTACCGCTGACTTTGAATCTATGCCCGGCAGCTTTTGTCTGTTTTCTCATATCTCCTTTTTCCTCATCGAACTGATCTGCTAACGTTCTTAGATGTTGTAAGCTTGACACATAAGGAATGACGACATTACAATTAGGTAATAGGCCAAAACTCTTTCATATTTAATCCTACTGAAGTCTTTAAAGTCAATGGGCAATTAACAAATTGACCTTCAGTTTGTCCTTTTCCCGACTAACGTCTCTGGCAAATATTCTTTATTAAATAGATGGAAAGTCTTAAAGACAGTCTTTGTGCATGTCCTCTCTGACAATTAAAAATACTTTAATTTTCCTAAAAATAAGGCTTTAAGGCAACCTTTTTACTGGGGAAGTACATTTCTGTCAACAAAAGATACTATCATTGACGTATAAAGCATAAAAACCTCAAAGCTTTTTCATTTTATGTGTGCATTTCCTTCAAACCAATACTAATTTTCTGTCGGCCTGTTTCCTGTAAACTCAGGGCCTGAAATTCAGTGCGGGATAGCGGAAATAGTAAATTATCTGATCCATCCCTGTAAATCTGTTTTTTATAAATAATGCAGGAAATTCACTCTTAAAAAAACATCATGACAATGATTAGCTACTAATGTGGACGTGTTCGGATTTAGACGAAGAAGAAAATCTCCACTACTCACTGGTGCCGGTCTTCTTCTTTTCTCTTTTTGCTAGCAAACCAGTGGTTATCATATTTAATGTCTTTAAACTTTAACATATTCCAAATATGGATTGCTGGCTAAAAGGCAAAATTATGGTCATAACAACAGAAGAACCAGCTTCTAAAAAAACAATGCAAATCAAATGTGATACTGGTGTTCTAACCAGCATACCCATAGTCAGTACCCGTTTATCCCTTTAGGTTATCCCTTTAGTTTTGTAAAAAAAAAAAACACTTTAAACTACCTCAACGGGCATGTAATCCTTTAGTCATGTACAAAAAAACTATTTAATTACTTACTTTTTGATGTTTTTTTAAGCGTACGGTGATCTGACCTTGAATCGTTTTCTTGTAGATGACCAAAGAGATACACGCCCATTGAGGTAGTTAAATTGTATTTTTCATACAAAACTAAATGGATATGTGTATTAAATCTGACGTCTTGCGCATGCATATTGACTATGGGTATGCTGGTCTGACGAGGTATGCTGGTTTAATAGAACGCCGGACCCAGTGATGTTGGGATTGGTCCAGATCCCGCAAATCCTCCATCCAACAGGTGTCAATTTCACTAAGGAGCCGAAAGATGCATTTCAGCCTAACTGGTTTAAGCTACATCCCTGGTGAAATGAGCTGCTCCATTTGTAAAAAAGTATGGTTCCGTACCCTTTACCAGCCAAAGCTGTAGAACCCAAACTTTGCGTAGCCGCTACTCTGCGGTGTTACTACCACTGCAGCTGTGAAAAGGAAACGTTTGACAGACTCAGCTAAAAATGTCATGGTCAAAAGCTATCCACGATGCGCAAATGCAGCGTAAAGACAAAATAAAGGGGCTTCTTAAAACTGCTTACTTTTGTGCAGAAAATGAAATGGCCAAAGCAAAATTATGCATATATGCATTCATCTGCTGTAAGAATATATTAAGCTGCGTAGGTAACCTTACAAGTTTTTTTTTTTTTTAGGTTTTCCATCCTGAAAAAAAACAACCCAAGAGTTAAGTGAGAAAAAGAGATCATGCAAGGGAAAGGGGAAGAGAGAGCAGCTGAAAAAACAGCTAGAAAAATGAAAGCAATATATTCATCTGAGGTTTGATTAGCACAACATAAGACCTGTAGTCATTAACTAATAATGACTACAGGTCATTATTAGTTAATGACCCTAATGACCCCCCCCCCATTCATAAGCATATAAGGGGGGAAATCTGTCTGGTCTGTCAAAAGTATGTTGTGTAAAACATTTTATTTTGTGGTTGTAATATGCAAAGGTTCTGGTAATATGAATATTTTTGCACGGCTCTTTTATTTATTTGCAGCAGGACGATTTTGGCTGAGAGTTGAATTATTTTCCTTGTCTTTTCCTTTTCCTTTAACAATTCAAGTTGTACTGCTTACCAGAACTAGTTTGTATAATTCAATGCTCAACAACCTTCAAACATGCATTTCAATAATATATTTTTGTGGAGCCCAAATGCAGGAGGAAACAGCTCGAAATACATATTAATAATTGAGCTTCCAACATTTGATGCAGTTTTTCCTGTTGGCAAATAACTTTTCATTTATATGACCTTAAGGATAACACAGAATAAATATGAATAATAATAATTGTCTACTACTTCTGTAAATTATGAAAGAGAGTAGATGTCATCCCAAGAAAGGTGGGAAGCCATTTAAAAATGAATAGGAGCAGAAGGCAATGATCTGTAAATCAATCAGATCACTGCACCACCATGAAACATCTGTGGTTTCCACTAGAGACGTTTATTTCTAATCATTAAAATGTTATATGTGAACCCCCCCATACACCCCCCAACCCCCAGTGCCTCCCAGAGCATGTTTACTACTGAGTTACATCACCTCCCACTTTTAACATCCCCTCAGTAGTTTGAAAACTAAGAAGTCCAATTGCTGTAAGTCACTGCCTTTAGCCCCTGCTGTCCTCACCTCCCAGCTGTGAGTAATTGTGTCTATCTTTATGCAAATTCTGGGCTTTACAGTGGTGTTAGGCATTGGTTTTTGGATGAGCTTGGCATCTAAGATGTCTCCATCCCTTAAGCTCATCTTTGGAAAATAGTTCTGACCATAAAGTTCAGTCCAAAATGGCAGCTGGCCATCTTCCCTTCTAGTAAGGCACAGCCTGTCAATCAATAGGGGCGATGATTAATATGAGTGGCTAGCTTACATAGCTCTAGCTTGTACTCATAACTCGTTTTCTTTGTTCTGTGTAGTATTAGGGCCTTATGCTACAATAATACCTCATGTAAGCCTTAATTGCTTCTTGCTTATGATTTGTTTAAGCAGTTCAGAGAAGTGACAGGCATTATTGCTCTTCAAAGCAAGGGCCACAAATAAAACATGGTATAAACTCACTACCCCTTTCATTTTACTTTGATCTTCTAAAAGCTCCAACTGCTTCTGCGTGTATATTTAGATAAATTAAGCTATTCTATAAGTTCTAACTTAGCTGTAGTAATTTCATTAAACCTTTAATGCAGCCACTGCATATTTGAAAATAAAGCTTTGTCTCTGGCAGTGTCAGATTCCCTTATGACAAAAGTTACTAATCTGTAAACAGATTTTTTAAAACTGTGATTTATATGTTTCTAAACACACATTTTAGGATGCTATAGGCATGTTCAATAAATCCAGATACATCAATATACAGACAGATAAGCGACTCAGATTAAATTGTTATATTGTTTTCTTTAAAAAAACAACAAACTGTTGTCGCCACCTGGTTTTCTATAATCTCTCCAATATATACCCATAAAAATGTTGGACATGCCTACATCAGTTGTTTGCTTTTTTTATTTTTAAAAGCACTTTTTTTATTTTTAAAAAGCATTTTTGCTTTAAGAAATGAAAGACTCGGTTAATAAAGAAAAATCCGGCATTAAGAGGAGTAATGTGCATCATTATTTTTGAATAAATGCGGATATTTCTCATAAACACTGTTTAGTCCTAAAAAACATTTCATTCAGTTTTCTGTTTACTACCTATTCAGACTATAAACAATAAAAAATGAAATAGCATGCTTTTATCTCACACACATTTTCTCTACTGTGTGGGAAACCTGTATGAATGCATAAGCACTAGCTTTCTATCAGCCTTTTCATGATATCCCCTTTAATTATTTTCCACCTGGGTTGCAATATCCAGTTTTGGAGCATTTCAGCTGCTTGGCAGTCGTAGAACCTTCCCTCTCGTATACCCGTTGTATTATAAGCTAATACGAGTCAGTGTGCAGCAGCTTTTAATGGCGGTTAAGCTAGCTCTGCATCCAAACAGTTGGAAAACATGATTGTTAGGATTCTGTCTCTTTTTATGGTGGAGCTTTTATCAGCATTTGTGGATGCAGCAAATATCTCTGTTAAAATACTTTTTTTTTTTGTTCAAAAGTGTCCATTAGACCATGCAGCGATTTCATCTACAAAACTGTGTCAGAATCTGATGCAATGCTGTGCAACAGCCTGAAGACTGGAATCAATTCTCTAAATCTTTTATTGTAGGATAATTATATGACAGCCCTTACTAATTTATCTTTCAGATATTTTTACTCAACTTAAAAAAATCAAACTCTTCAAACATTTGAAAAGGTTAATTGTGCTCCAGGTTTATTCCAAATCATGTTACTTACCGATTTGTTACATAACTTCTTTATTTTTAGATGATTTACCAGGTGTCTTTTTCTAAATCTGTATCACCCACTTAGTTTCTAACTTTTCAGCTTATTGTGAAATATGTTGCTGTTATTATATCTGAAATTCCAACATTTTTAGAAAGGGAGTTGTATACTTTTCAATTAATGTTCTAACCTACCTTGGTTATTCCATGAAGGAAAGCCTCCTTGGCCAGTTTGGCAGGGCCATCAAGCGACTTCCCATCATCCTCTGGGCCCCAGCTGGCACTATAAATGTGGATGTGCTGAGGGTTAAGGCTCAGGGAGTGAGCCTCCACCACGTCGGTCACCTGCCCGTCCAACATACGAACACCTATCAGATAAACAGAAAATGTGCTGTAGATGAGGTTGTTACAGAAGATAAGCTGTGAATAAATAGTAACAGATTGACAGTAAACATTTGCAGACAAGGTGAAAGCTCAGCCATGAGTAATATGATCAGTGTGAGTCGAAAAAGTAAGAGCCAACTTGGTTGGGTTTAGATCTGTGAGGTCAGAGGCTCAGAAAAAAACGACTTAAGAAAATGTAATCTTTTTCCAATCAGTAAATGTGTAACACCTGATGTATTGAGAAAAGAAAGGTCAAACTGTAATAACCGCAAAATCAACTCTTTTTTTTATTATAGATAAACTACATAAACTGTCTTTGAGATGATGTTTTAATGTTACTATGCATTTCCAAGAGAATTTTTACTCACAACAGTGTAAGTGTTGCCCTACATGGTGGAATGGGGACTATAGCTGTTGAATATCGGTGGTACAGGCTTTCATCATCATAGTACAGGCTTTCTGATATAAATAAAACTCACTCAGACACATGCCTCTGTTGTGAGTCATCCTGTCTTCCACCAATGCCTCAGCAGCAGTGGCTTTGGGGATCTCTGAGTCACACTTTTGAAGCAAGTGGCTCCAGCCCACTGTGCTCCACAACCCCCCAACCTCCAGTGTCTAGGTTAAAAATTCTCCAGCACAAAATATCCCAAATTACGTAACTACCAGTATATCTGGACTCACTCTGCTTGTTTTGATAAGCCTACGCTAAACTGGCAGCTAATTTCACTTGTCTCAACCACAACCTGATTTAACCCCCACACTTAGCCCCATCCTGAGGATCTCTTGGCACCGACCACTTAGGTGGCATTTTTCTAAATTGATCTGTTGGTGGGCTTATGTTTTCACATGGGGTGAGTGACACACTGAAGTTAGCCTGATGGCTGAGGGACTGGGCCAGTGTAGCAACATTAATTCTGTATAATAAAAAAATGGTAAAAAAATAAATAAAAATGATTGAGAAATTAAAAGTGCTAATAACAGTTATACTGTAACGGTTTGCTTTAAGATGCAGCAAAGCCAGGAAATGTGGCCTAACAGTCAGCATTCGGAGCCACATTTTTGAAAGGGACCTAGTTCCGCCAAGCCTTCATCCCAGTAGCGTTCTCTAACTCCTAACTTACAATGCAACTTTGATCTGCTCATCTGCAAACTGAGCATTTATAATCCCCGTCCGCTCGCCACTGCAGCGGCCAGCTGGCAAAATCCTCCTATTTTTACTCGATAAAGGAGCCAGACTGCAGTCTGTTTACAGAAGTCACATCACATCAACAGGAAAATAATTCTCAAAACAATTCACTAAAGAGGGACTAGATTTACATTAAGACTTCAATTCATCAAATAATTAAACTAATTAATATTAAAAAGTTTTAAAATATATTTGTATATATGCGTTGATATCAGCAATTCCAGACACATTAGAGCATTTACTGGGCTGTATAGATTAATTTAGGTAACCAAAGCTCAATGGTTAAACAATAAATGCTCCAACAAATATAATAAGCAACAAATATACAGTAGCTTCTCTAGTCACTTATTGTAGAATATAACATATAAATGACAAGTGAAGCAGGTTAATCCTTTTAAAATGACCAATGCTCCTTGGGCCTTGCAACGCAGTGTAAATTCAAAATTACACATTTTTTAGCCTGAAAATAAATGGGGGCGCATTAGTAGACTTAAAGATTGCTGTGAACAATCTGCCAGCAGCTTTATTAGCAAATTTGACACTTGAACAGCAGCACCTACTGTATACATCACATACTGTAAAAAAAAAAAAAAAAGTTCTCGTCACTATAACTAGAAGAATAAAACTAGCCTTACCATCACTAGTGTTAGGACTATCAAGGCCATGTACCAACAGCAGCGGGCCCCTATGCTCATCCCTTCCCACCGCAGTAGCATTGATGATTATTGACTCATATTTTGTGGTGTTCATTCCTACCTGATCTATGTGCTCTCATGTTAGTCAAGCTGGCTCTGGTTCTGCACCACAGGTGCATCCCTAGAACCTGTGGCTACTTTATCTTGCAATTTGATTGGTAAGATTACCAACTGTGTCATCAGAGCTACTGGAGAAGAATTTTCTACAAGCTACAAGAAAGACTGAATACAATGAACCACTTTATTTACAGACCCTGACAACACCTGACAGTGAGTCAAAAGAAAAAGAGGCAAAAAAAAAAAAACTTTGGGCACACATGTACAAGGACGGCACAACTTAGCATCTGGCTGCTTCATTCATTACCAGAACAGGATCACGACAGGGGAGCCTGGTGAGTGTGTTGCAGAACTGGTAGCAGATAACCCAGAGGTTGGCAATAAAACCTGAATGCTGATCACAGCTAATCACTTATAGTCACCTTGCAAGAATTGAGATGGATGTTTAAGCATCACCAGCATCATCATGAGGAACCGAGTGCAGAGAGACTTTCATGAGATACAGCTAAATTTAAAAGCTCTGACTATGATAGAAAACAGTAGGACCCCTCTCTGGGAGCCTCTGGCTGAATCTGTATCAAGATGTGAAAAATATCTGATGGTGAAAACCAAAGCATTTAAAGTAGGTATATTTTAAAGGTTCCTTTAGATCACTGCATCATTCCCGTAGCAACTCTGATTGTGCAAAAAGTTTGACTTTATAAACTGGGAAAATACACCACTGGTGCAAATATCAAGAGACATAGAGGTGGGTGTGTCTCTTCCAGATTTTCTGTGCTGATTCTAAACAGCTTTGGGTTGTTTAATGGTGTAGTATAACAATAAATTAACCAGAGCAATCAATCTCTGAAGTTCTGTTAAACAATTAACTCTTGTGTTCTTCTTAACAATATGTGTTACATTAAAGGGGTCATAGAATGATCATATAGGATATTTGGTGCTGGTTCTTTAGGTCTCTGAATAGGGTGTGTAACATTGGGTTGAAAATGGCATATTGCTGTTCTTTGAGCCCTAATGCAAGCCTGGTTAAGAGCCCCAGAATGAAACGTTAGGTTTTCTTCCTTTTATGGTATGCTCAAGACTATTTAGATGAGCTGTGCGCTGATTGTTTGGTTTACAACGAGCGAAGCTGCTGAGCAAAGACGTATCATAGCAACAAGCACTCACTCACTGAAACATCAAGATTGTTGATATGGTAGGGAGACCAGGCGTCCACTTTTTCCCGGACATGTCCTACTGTTCATACCTAAATAAATGTCCGGGGTGAATTTCAAAATCGTCGGGGATTTTGGTCGACTACAGTGCAGCAGAACAAGGGAGCCAGCGGGGGACGGAGCGACGGAACCCGACCCGGTGACGGTAGCCTTGAAAACAGCGGCCCCGTGCTTCCCCCCACCTGCCTTACCATGCTTTACCCCAGCAGGCAGGGGGAAAGAACGGGGGGAAGCACGGTATGGCAGGTGGGGGGAAGCATACCTCCACCGGGTCGGGTTCCGGAGCTGATGGCTTTTTTCGAATGCCAGGTCCGGTCAGTCAGCGACCCAGCAGCCCAAAAAAACAAAACAAAAAGTGTCGTACTTTTCGGAAACCGAAGTCTGGTAACCATAGCATTGCTAATAACAGCTTAGCAACAAAATATTACTTATAGTTTGCCCCTCATTTCAGTAAAAGAAGTTTAGCAAATCCTGCTTTGAGCCGTCAAAGATTTTGAAAGGTGTCTTTGGTAAAATGCTTAGAGCAAATGAACAGCTGAGCATCAAACTTTGCAGGGATCTTCTGATAGACAAAAATAATCCATGCCTGTCAAGTCTTTCGGATCCTTGGGAAAACTGTGAAAAATGTCCCCTTTCTCCGCGCAGCCTGGAACACTGCATTAACACCCGTGGTTCTGGCTCATTTTCAACAGAGAAACTGCCTGCTTTGTAATTCTTGTAGAAGTAAACCAAACTGTAGGCTAAACAGCTAACCTGGTGTCTTACATTTACCTGTATTCTTGTTCTCGGGCCAGCGAACTAGTGGGCTGGTCTGTATGTCAATTTCGGGGCGTGACAAAAGTACAGGCCAGAACCTAATAAGGTAACATCCCCAAATTGATGTCAATTTGGGGCTTTGTTTGAATTCGCCCATTTTATGGTGGAAGTTGAGAATTGTGAGATTTGCAGAGAAAGGATGTGTCGGTGGGGTTTGAACTTCTCTGTACGTCAATTTCACCCACTGAACTATCGTTATTCATCCATGACAACGGATTGAGTTTTCTAATAAAAAAAAAAATACCAGTATATATTTTATGTATTAAGTATTAGTACCGTAATTAAAATCTACAGGAAGGAAGATGAGTGTCTAATAAAGGTCAAGGATGATGATCTATGTTATATTTTTCAATCGGGAAAAAAGATTTGCAATGATTATTTTTTCGGCTTACTTTGTATCTGTGTCTTGTTTGACAGTTGTTAAATCATGAAAACCATTTAATGAAAAAAAATGAAGTAATCTTATGTGCATTTCTATAATAGGGATTTAGTCACATGCTTTTAACCATTATATTCTGGGATTGGTGTGTTTAATATCTATATTACTAATATTTGCTATTTTACGTTTTATTAGAACCCATCTAAAAAAACAAAATTGAAGGCCCTTTCTTTGACCCCCCATGATTTCTGGTGCCGCCGCTGTCGAGTACTAATGCATCCATCACTTTAGCAAAAAATTCTGAAAGCTTCCACAACTTTGGCTGCTGCCTCAGTGAACACCAACATTCATATTTCCAGTGCTACTCGTGTCTCATCCATCTCGGCATCAAATATTCCTTTGCACTTTTTCACACTTGACTTTTCCTGTTTATTTTGGCACCTCCACACTTGGACTCTGACTCACATGGCTTCAATGTTTATCCTATAGACATCATACATGTCAATGGCTCTTCCTCATATTGCATGCTTTCACAATATCATGCCTCTGGTCATGTGGTCTGGTTATGATAAATACACAAGAAGTTGTTTACTGAGGTGAAGAGCAAAATAAAGTGTAAAACAGAAATAAAATA